TCCCGTGGAGGCGCCGATGGTGAGCAGAAGCTGATGCAGCTGTTTAACACGCCAACTGTTCTGTTACACGTAAACAAAAAGTCTCCACAGTCCATGAAGCTGGACCACATCTATAGATGAACGTTTCATTAATCGGCGTTCGTTCAGCCACCGTTGATCAGTTGGTCCTTCAGAGAAAATGATCCGTCATCAGCTGGCGGCAGCGCTGTAATAAGATTGTGTTATTTAAAGTGAGCAGACGCACTGCTGCTGGTTACATACACGCAAAGTAAAAAAGCATAAATAAAGACAGAACATATTCACAGGTGTGTCTGCATGATCCTGTTTCCTGTACAGGTGTGTTTGATGTGGGACGACGGCGTCTCCGTGGCTGTGAGCTGGAAACACACAGACCCACAGTTACCCTCGGACACCTGAAGGACCGAGCGTGCTGTGTTTAAATACAGATCAGAAAACGGTGCTAGAAAAACTAAAACAATCGGACCCTCGTCCCTTAAGAGGAGCTGAAATTTTGCATCATTCCTACTAAGCAGGGAATCTTTCCACTGGAATTCCCGAGAGTCAGGTGGGATCAGCTTTAATGATTAGAAGACACGGTGCTGAGGTTTCCACCATCAGGTAAGGGCAGGTGAGCTGACTGGCAGGTCAGCAGTGATGTTTCATGGATGTTTGGATGCAGTTCTGTGGGAACCGTTTCTGTTAACGGGAGCGAGGGAGGGAAACCTCTGCCTGCAAAGGTCCGGTAGTAAAATGTCGGCAGGTTTCACCCTGCATGTCTGTGCCAGTAATGTCCCGCTCGCGGCCTCGCCCCCGGTTCAGTTCTCTGTGTTACAGCATGTTAGCATCAGAACAGGTGCAGCCGATTAGCTGCGTCACCCTCCGCGCCTTCACCAAAGCTCATCTCTGATTGGCTCGAGGAGTGTTCTTTGGGCGGATCTTGAGAGAGAGCTCCCACAGCGCCTCCTCAGCCAGGTGATCGCTGAAGTCGTTAAAGAAGGAAATGATGTCATCATCGGGCAGCAGAGAGTAGCTCCTGCAGAGAGAAACAGCTTCAGCATACAACAAAACAACCACGAGGTAACGATTGAGAGGAACTGTAGCTAACTGACACTTGCTGGTAGCTCCTCAGCGTGTCCAGGATGTTAAACTGCTGCCAGCGTTTGGAGAAGTTAACCTTTGAACCCTGTGATGTCATCAAAGTGTCGGGATTCCCAAGGTGGACAAAAGTCAAGTCCTGCAGAATCAAACCCCTGAGAGAGACGGGCAGACAAAGCATCAGCCTGCAGTTCCTCTGATGTCCAGCAGAGGCAGCAGCGAGTCAGTCCCCATAGACTCCAATGTTAAAACTTTACAGCAGAAACAAACATGTTTACAGCCGGACACACAAACTGGTCTGTGGAGAGTTTCCTCCTTCATAACGCCTGCTTACATTGTATTGTTAGGGGCGTGGCCTGTTTGACTGACAGGTGAATGGTGACACAGGTGGCTGTAGCTGCAGCTAGGCTAAACCTCAGCCAATTGGAGATTGGACCTGAACTGGACCTCTGGACTGTGTTTGTGCTGTTGGAGCCTTTTATCTAATACTGTGGCTGCTGTGAGGTTGATCACATAGACACGTTCTACATTAGGGTGACTGCCCAACAGGTACGTACAGGTAGGGTATGCAGGGAGGCTCCACTTCAGCCAGAGCTGCTCTGTAGGCTCTGAAAGAGGAGGAACTGTCGATCAAGGTGCTGAACTCCTCCAGAGCCTGAAGCCAAACAGACA